GGCTAAATGTCCCCTCTCAACAAGGTTGTACACTTCTCAGAATAACCTGCTTTGGGAAACCAAGAGGAGAACATGCAACTTTTTAGCATGACATCAGAAATGCTGCTTAGGATTGCTGACCTCACTCTCACACTATCAATCATCGACAAAAAAAAAACAATGAAATGCAGACCACGTGGGGAAAAGAGAAGATTTTTTACCTTTTAAGATATAAAGCAAGGCTGCCTCATGAATTTAATCATCTCCCACTCAAAAATCGAAAGATTTAGTAAGAGCTAAAGGATCATAATAGTCCTTTTTTGTGTTTTTTTTATAGCTATGAAACTTCTGGCAGAGCTTGGCATCTGGCAACTAGCAGATGGTGAACCAATGTGCCAATTACCAACACCGACATGCCGTGCTGCCTATTATTCAATCTGGCCTTGAGTGATCACACTTTCAAGTCAGAAAACGATACGAGTGAGAGGTTGATCTAACAAACCCTCTCCATCCGAGTGTGACTAAAGCTCAGAGGAATTCAAACGCAGATCTTTTGTGCCCACATGACTGCTTCAGACGGGGCGACTGAAAGTTAGTTGAGAGTGAGTCTGAAAAGGAAAGGAAGCAAAAGACAGCTCGATCCTAAAGTGTGTTAAAGAACTGCAGCTTGGAAATAGCTATGAAATTGTGGTTTGGTTAAATAGGACTGAATATAGTGGCGAATCTCTTATAGGCCAAGGAAAAAAGAAGAGGAGCAGAAGAAATCTCCATCACCCAAGAGACAACCAGAGCCTAATTGTAGAGTGAACAAATGCCAGAACATCCAAGAACACTTTGCTCCCACTGCACAACTGTTCCATGTCAGTTTGGCTGCAAAGCGAAGAACAACAAACAGCATATGAGCGTAAATTACACACGGAAATGTGTCATGGCATAAGAGATTTTCCTCTTAACATGGAAAATAACAGGAATTTATATATCGCAAACATCTTCCAAGCTCTTAAAGCATAAATAAACATCTTCTAAGGTTTCCTTCACAAGCAGTTAACCATCCCTACCAGTTTTTACCTACCACTTGCTGACCGCCATTACCCAGTGAAATAGTTAAGAATTCTTCCCTAACCCGACATCTGCCCGTCTGTCCAAGCTCACCAATATTATACAACTTAGTATGCGGTTCTGGATGCAGCACATCTAAATTACATGCTATCGAATTCAAAAGGCAAAAGGAGGGGGGGAACAGCACAGAGTACACTGTAGGGCTCGAGTCCAGGACCAAGAGTCCCCTGAGTGTTAGCTACACGTCAATCACAATCACTTCAAAATGAGGTGAACCCCATCCTACTCCTGCTGTTGTCCAGAAGACGAACTTAAAACCTTCACTGACTTTTTCCCCCCCAAAGCAAGTGGTGCTCACACTAATGACAAGGACAACACTGATAAAACAGAAAGTGCTCATTTCGCTTGCGGTTCCCCAGCATAGCAGGGCTGCCTTTCTATCTCATGCCATATTCTTACAACAAACAAATCTGCATGAAATTAAGCCAGCAGGCAAAAACACTCGAGCACAGGAAACATGCTTGACATAGTTTCACTGGTCCGTTATGAGAAGAAACCAGAAAATAGCTCTGGCACCTGCTGTGCAGAAACAATGTATGTTTGGACTGACGTGTCTTCATGTTTGGAAAGTGTACCACATGGGGAGTTTGGGTAAAAATAAAAGAAAAAGAGAAAAGAATGGTCTGATCATTTGTGTTTGAAATTTGCCTCTGTCAGTTTTCCACTCTATTCAAATTTCAGCAGTGCTAAGAAACTACTGCCTTGCAAGGGAAACTCTGGATTCTTGCTTTGGAATATGATGCTGTGGTGGATTATGAGTATCTAGCATTAGACTTCAACAAAGCAGCCACATATATTACATTCATGTAAACAAATAATTAGCATTTCTTGATTTTAGTGAGAATAAGGCACAATAATCAGCAAACGTCTTGAGTTAAATCAGCAAGAAAAGAAAAATGGGATGAAAAATGAGATGGAGAGAGTGAGCGGGAGCCAGGATACAGTAACTAGAAGCCTTTCACCGCACTGTGCAGCTCAGAGCCAGACTCCGGAAATGCATGGCAGTGTTCCCTACATCCTGCCTGCCCAGCCCTAACCCTGGCCCTCGCCCACACTGCCAAACCCATGTTATCACTCTGTGCAATTACCTCCACATTCTTCTGCACCCATATCATATCGTTCCAATTATAAATCCATACAGAGCACCACATTTCCAGTGTATGGCTTGCAGTCTGATGTGTGCTCTGTTTAAATATGTGTGTGACAGTGTGAACATGCATGCAAAAACCTTACTTTGGCAGTTGTCAGGAAGCACTTTAAAAACAAAGTGGCTCAACTGATCGAACAAAAAATTAAAAAAGCATGATTCGGCGACACGTATATAAACAGAGATGCATAGAGACAAACAACAAAAAAACACCCTAAACATTTGATCTTAACAGTGAGGGGTTGAGGGCTGTATGTTATGATGTGTTGGAAATAGTATGATGTGGGCTGTGTGGGCTCATTGCAAATTAACACATCTGAGTGGTTTGAGTGATCATCTTCATCCAGTAATTAAACCCTTCTAACCTGATAAGAATACTCTCTACTGTGATGACAACAAGCCAATCACAAAGCACAAAGGAGCTTTATTAAAAACAACACAAGCTTTGTTTAATGAGTATAAAAATGGCCTTCAGAGCCAGCGGAGGTATCACAATCTTAAACCTATGTCAGAGATTGTAAGGCTGTAAGTAATTTATGCATAATAAAAAAAGACAGTAGATATAATTATGTAAACATTTAAATAGATACACATTGTTCGATCAGATCGATAGTTTAACAAGCTTTTTAGCAAGCTAGAAATTGCGGATAAATATTTACATAGTAGGATAAAAGCAAAGGCAGCATAAAACATGGACATAGCCTCAAGGTCAGAAAAATTACGCTGATATGGAAGTGCCTTAAAACGGCATTTTATCTCCAGGTCACCAGATGGCGATATCTGTGGTTGCAAAAAACCCTCTGGTCCTATAAAAGTCTAACCAAATAAAATATCTGTCTTAATCTCTTTAAACAGTTTTCTGTTGAGTTCTATGAGCTGAGTCTCTCATTTTGAATCATACTGAATAAAAAAAAGATCGGCTTCTTCCTGTTAAAAGGAAGTTTTTTCTTTCCACTGTTGCCAAGTGCTTGCTCATAGGGCATTGTGAGGGTTTTTTCTGTATTAATGTAGGGTTTTTACCTTAAGTATAAGTTTCTGTGATTTAGTGCTATACAAAGTGAATTAAATTAAATTAAATTAAACTGAATTGAAGTAACAGGTAAATAATGATACAACTGACTATATAAGTAAATAGGTGCACAGTTTGTCAGGGTCTGTTCTGTATGTCTGCTTCTTGGGTCCAACACACCAGTAATCATGACACAACAAAAAGTAACAGATAAATAGTACAAATATAAAAAGGAAAGGATGAATTGTTAAATGGTTAGCTAAAAGAAATATATAGTTACATAGTTTCTAAGAAGTAGTATTTGAAATAAATAAATAGCTGTAAGGAATGGATAAGTAATGGATAAATAGAGATACAGTTACCTAAAAGAAATTGTTAATTACAAAAGTAATGGCTAGACTGTGGTATGGTGATCAAAGGTGTTAACTGTATTCCACAGATGAAAAATTTAAATGGACACAAAGGGAACATTAAATGAATGGCTGCTACAGATACCCTGAGATGGCTGTGGGGTGCATAAGGTTGGAACTACTGTATTAGAAGTGTGTTATTCATTGCATTCCTGAGGCTATTCCAGTCATCTGTCATCAGGTTGCTCCTGCACCTTATAAGGAGCAGGAGGGCATTCTCCACTTGTTTTCCAAACACTGCGCAACTTATCGGATACAGTTTCATGGACAATTACTGTGCTGTCTGTTTCCTGAAAGTATTTAAAATGGAAAAAAACCCCAAAACCTTACAGATCAACCTTTTGCAGTTCCCTCCACCCTCTTACACTTACCATGCTTCTATTTCACAGATACTACTACGTAATAAAGCTGAGATCAAAAGACTTTATGCCCAAACTGAAGTACAATGAGAGCCGAAGAGAGTTTTTTTTTGACTCCGGCGTGGTAGGATTGCAGAGAATGTCATACCTTGAGAAGAGAATTCATTTTTGAGTAAGAAGGCCTGCCCTCTGAAAGACTGCCCTGTGGCTTTGTCTGCAGGAGATGCTGGACGTCTTTAAGACTCAAGCATTAATTTAAAAAAAAGAAATTTAAAATCTTATGTTCAGATTTGATCTTTTGAAGGGCATTTGTTGAGCTGGCATCTATACAAAGTTAGGATAACTGCCCTTATCCTAGCTCTGCACACTTTACGAATGCCTTTCTAAACTAAGGGTGAAAACCACAACCTTCCTTTAGTGTCTGGAGGATGCTGTTGACAGAGAGTCAACATCAACAGGCCAAAAAGTAGAGCAACTTTTTCTTCAAACCAAAAAAAAAAAAAACTTCCACCAGGCTGCACTGAGTGGCTACTTTGGCGATGAGAAACTTGCCCACCCCTCCTTCTTCCTACTGCCCCTTCATACTTTGTTCGCTAAAGAATCAGAAGGCGTGAGCGCGCATTGCAAGAGCGTGCATACGGTATGCTTTTCTTTATGCATCCCCACAATAAAAACACATTTTTAAAAAAGCTCTCTGGGCCTGCAGCTGGGAATCATGACGTCACCATGCCTTTAGTGAACCAGCAGCGTGAAACGCGCACAAAAGAGGGAGCGGCTCCCAGCCAAGAAATTCCGAAAAGTAAAATCAGCAGCCCATGCGCACAGCAGACATCCAAGTATGATAATCTGCCATCGTAACGCGGCCTATTGCATCATTGTTTTTTGTTTGTTTTTTTTTACGTCATCTTTAACTTTCCACCCACAAAAGGTCTGATATCGTCTGTAAAAGTTCAAAGTTGTTGTCTTTTTGCGCTTACCTGTTGATCACGACGGGACAAAGTAGAGCTCTAGAGTCGAGTGAGAGGAGTGGAGAGGAGAGGAGGGAGCCTAGTCTGCAGTCGGGTCCTCCACTACACTCAATGATAAAACCAAACTCAAAGCCCGCTCAAGCCCCTCCCACCTTTTTAAGACATACAGTACACATCTACCCTTGGCTGCATTGTACGCTTCGGTCTGTTCTTGTAGCGCCGAGACCGAGTCCAAAGTGAAAAACTCAGCTCTCCTAAGAGCTCGTGCAAAACTCCCAACATCTAGAGTGACTCTGGGCAGAAAATGCACACTTTTGGGGGGAGAAAGCCTTCTGGGATAAATAAAGTGTCAACAGAGATCGCATGAGATGTTTATCTTGGACAAAAAAGGGGCTCACGGTGCAGACCAGCAGGCCCCAAAGACTGCATAATGTGTTGGCAACTGAGTTATAGAGTTCCTTTAACTGCTCACCATTATGTGAGCCATCATAACATGACAAATAACCACAGTTATCAAATTATATAACTGCTCAAGACATTCATTTATGCAGTGACTCTGAAAAGCCATGTGGGCTAAGTAAAATGAATATCTCATTAGCTAATGTTGCCAAGCTATTGACATGCATATGAGTCTTAGTGGGAATCCAATTTTCCTTTGATACTCACTCACTCTAGCAAGAATTATTTCTTTTTACAGATATAAAAATGTCCCTGTCCATTAGAATGAAGTTTTTTCCTACCAGTTTAAACAAACTCTTGGCTATAATTTAGCAAGATTTTGTCATTTGCACTGATAATGACTTCTCTATACTGTCTATATGTATATACACTCATCAGACAGTTTATTAGGTACACATTAATAGTAACAGGTTGGACCTCTTTTGCCTTCAGATTCAGAAAGATGCTAGAAATATTCCTCACATATTTTGGTCCATATTGACACAACAGTTTTACACAGTTCCTGCAGATTTCTCATTCTAAGACATCCCAAAGGTACTCTAACAAGCTGAGAACTGGTGACTTTGGAGGCCATTTCAATATAGTGAATTCATTGTCATGTTCAAGAAACCACTTTAGCATGATTTGATCGTAGTGAAACGGTACGTTATCCTGCTGGAAGCAGCCATCAGAAAGTGTGTGCACTGTGGTCATAAAGAGACATGGTCAGCAACAATATTCAGATATGATGCGCTGCTATGTTGGTACTAAGGGGCCAAGAAAATATCCCCCACATCATTCAACCCCAACTAACCTGAACTGTTGCTACAAGGCAGGGTGGATCCATGCTTTCTTGTTGTTTATGGTGAACGAGTGGCACCTGATGTGGTCCTCAATGGTCATGCACCATTGTTTTAGTGCATGATGCTCTTCTGCATACCTTCGCTGTAATGAGTGGTTATTTGACTTCTCTGGCATTTTCACCCAGAGAACTGCTCCTCACTGGATATTTTATCTTTTTGCAACCAATCCCAGTGGAAGAACAGTTTCTGAAACACTCATACCAGCTCATCTGGCACTAACAACAACGCCACGTTTAAAGTAACTTAAATCACCTTTCTTCCCCATTCTGATACTCACTTTGAATCTCAGCTGCTTGAGATGGTCTTGACCATGTTTACATACCTAAATGACCTAAGCTACTGTATTATATAATGAGCAGATGTATAGGTGTACCTAATAAAGTGACAGCTAAATGTGTATATTCAGCAGGGTGTGTTCAAATGATGGAGGATATATGATCAGGTCTCTTCTGTGAAATGCTCAGACAGTAAAATACAGAAACAGATTCACAAGTAGGCTACGTTCAGTATGTCAGCATCTCTTAGCTTGCAAGCATGCTAATTCTTGGGTAAAATGTACAGTACACAGAGGTCAGTTGAACAGAATCAACTTTTTGGGATCACCTTGGAAGAGGTTTTATAACATAATCTCTTAATTTTGTGTGGAAACCACAAAATTCCCAGAAAGAGAACAACAAAAAACAAACAAACCCCAAAACACTTGACCTTTATCTTCAATAGAAACTACAGCTCTTACATTACTCTCTGTGTCAGCCCTTACACGAGATGATTAACGGATCAAGAGAATTGCAGAAGTGAAGTTTCTCGTTTGATTCTCTCCACCAAAAGCACCACAGCTATTTCTGACCACGTGTCTGTCAGCAATTTCAGGATACAGAGAGTTAGGAGATGACAAACACAATAGCAGCAGTGTTCTACTTTCTACTGTGAAACAGCAGCACGCAGACACTGCTCGGCTTTGTCCCCCCCCCCCTCCCTTAAAACAATGATGCTCAGAACAAAGAGTGAACTTAAGAGCATTAGGCAACTGGTGCAGAAATGAGCACCATATGCGCCGGTGCTCTTTTGCATGTGCTCTTTAAAGATAAAGCGAAAGAAATGCGCTCTGCTGATTGTGTACACGTGCAAACGCAGTTGTGAGTAAGTGTGCGTGTGTGCTGACATAACGAGGAGAGAGAGGAGGGTTAGAAGGCCATTCCGCTAAACAAATCTGAAAATGTGTTTATGTTAATTTCTTTGAAAAATGATGTATTTAAAGATAAACCTGTCATTCTTCATCTTGCGTGTTTCTTTTTTCGACTTTTATTCCTCATCCAGTTTGCAAACAACAGCTGCCTCAGAAACCTCCATTACCCTGAGTTGAATCACGTCACGGCATAATTTGATTGCCAAAAATGATGCTGTGGTTTGGGCACGTTTATAGTTAGCGCAATGCCCACATACTCAGGGCCTGTGATGCCTTTGCTATATTTACATTATGAGCTCACCTGTTTACCTCAGCCACACACTTCAGTTTGAGCTGTGCCTCCTCAGTGGAGGTAGACAGAATGATCTTTAGTATTGATACCAACGCTGGTACTGGTATCAGACTGAAAGCAGCGCGATAAGATTCAGACTTTGTTTCTATACTCTAAGTTCAGTATGTAGCCCACTGATTTGTGTTGAATGAATAACTTCTTGGAAATGAAAAAAAATATACCTCACACACTTTGAAAAAACGTTTTTGTGTTGACTGTCACGTCTTTTTGATTTGTAGCCTGTAGCACATTTAAACAACAGAAGCTCTTTAGAGACAGGCACAGCTCTTCAAAAAAACCCAAGTTATATAAAAAGCTGAAATGTGTATTTTACTGTGTTAGTGCTCATCAATGTGTTCAGAATTTGCAAATTGATGACAATTCATTTCATAAGTCATGACACACAAATCTCTGCTCGATATGCTGCCTTTATAGGTTAAAAGTATCGGTATTGCAATACTGTCCCTGTATTCACTTGTATCAGATCAAACCCAAAATTTGCAGTAATACCTGTGCACTATTCCTCAGGACCTTTTGGCTTCGTGCGTCCTAACTGAGTTTCCCTACTACGACCTAATGAAATCATCGCTCAATAAGTCTTGTGTATGCCAGAAGAGGCAGCACTGAGCATGTAGAGACGAACCTGGGAAGAAAACATTGCGACTCTAGGCTGTTTTGCTTTCTGCGAGCCGTTTGCAGCTGCTGTCAAGGATTCATAGATCTTTGGCGCCTCAGGCCAGAGAGGTTCACGTTGCCAAAAATCTGACATGTATACCTTCAAAATGTTACATCAGCTAAAACACCTCAGAAGCAATTATAAAGGTTCTAACACTGCATTGCTTTCAACAAACCCCTGACATTTCCCCCATTTCATCATATTGTTTTAAATTAGATGAAAGAGTGCGTTGCCATCTTGTGTGAAACTGACGTTCCAGAGGTGAAGGTAGAAGTCGTGGAAAAGCGCAATTGTTAATGATGTCATCACGCTGTTTGAGAAGAAAGTAATACCATTAGTGTCAGACATCAACTTCATATGGATTAATTCATACAGCAGCCCTTGCTCCGACTATGTATGTATGATGGATGATTGGTATCTGAGATGTCTTGGAGGCTCAGCTGGTCGATGTGCATATCAAATACCTGCAGTATCTTGAGTAAAACCCAGCACTTTTATCATTCCGATCATTTTCCTGTTCCTTCTTGTGTCTCTGCTGTGTAATATCAAAGACAAAAATGCCAACAAAAGACGGACCCCTGCAGAAGCAAACAGCTGGATTATTTCCCTTGTGCGTGGCTCTTATTTGCATTAATACTACCTTTGGACTGCAATATTCTGAGGATAAACAGAAAGGTTTTCATAAGATTGAAATAAGGTACTTATCTATTGGGACATTTTTCTCCAATAGATTCTTATTTTAAGAAGGTACAGAAAGTCAAATATTTCGACACACCTTGTAGTATACTGCAATGTACATACATACATACATACATGTTATCTAATATCTTGATTTCTAAGAGTAAATTCATAAACCAGTTGATCCGATATATTATTAATGCACTATTTGGCATAAAATCTAAAGTACACCAAATATCACTACCACATAATTGTCAGATAATATTCATATACAGGGAGTGCAGAATTATTAGGCAA